ACACGTTTGCGATTATCAACAACAATTAAAAAATTGTAACAGCATCAAGGAGAGGATAACAAATGAAGTTAATTTTTAAAAATAAGGCAAAAACGGTTACAACCAAATTAGCGAAAAATGTAAATAAAATAAAATAATATAAAAATATAAAAACTAAAACACACATAAAAAAACGAAAAAATGCGTACACATCAACAATTTCTACAACAAAACAAACAAACAACAGCACCGACGACAGGCAAAATGACATAAAATGACACACACACATACACCACACACACACACACACATACATACACACACACACACATACATACACACACACACACATACATACACACACACAACGCACACACCACACACACACAACGCACACACCACACACACACACACACACGAACAAGACAAACTACAACGAACGACAAACTCACAAATGACACACACTTTATGGCAAGCAAAACAATAAAAATCTCGCTTGGTATCCCGGGCGAGATGATGAAAAGAAAGGGGAGGTGCTACTTTCGTTTATCTATTCATTCATTCCTTCATTCATTTATTCACTCATTTGTTCATCCATTCATTCGTTTATTCATTCATATTTTCTTTCATTCATTCCTTCTGTTCCATTTATTATTCATGTATCTGGTCAATTTATTCATTGGTTAGCTTATTCATTGATGCATAGCTTGTAATCCACCACAGACATACAAACATATCTTGTTATTTATTTCAGGTTTCAATCATTCCATCCAGCCAGTTAACAAGTAATCATACTTTCCTGAACTGCTGACATGAAGATGATGATATTACTTATGCATGCGCGTTCGGCTGATTGAACTGCACTCGCGCGAAACATCTAATCCATTGTTATCTTTCCTTCCAAGTCAGCCTTCATAACACAATTTAAATGATTAGCCAAATTTCTATCTTCCTTTCAGTTTATTAAAACCGGATCAGTGAAATTGTTTATAGGATAAAAAAAACACACATACATCCTATACTCACATTTGCATAATTCTGACGCACTCACACGTACACACATATATAATTGACAAAATTATACAATACTCTAACTCTAACAATATCTGATAAACACAACTTTTACGAAAGATGACGTTTTTTTTTTATTCATGTGAACATAATAATTTAATTTGCAGATGTCAGATAACGGCATCCGATTTTTAAAACATTTTAATGGAAATAGATATAGATATCAGATAGATGGATAGATTTCAGAGTAAATACAAAAGATTAAATCAATGAGAACCAAGTAAAAACGTTAGATAATCATCTGAGGTAATAAAAAAAATTCCAAGAAAAAACACATTTGTTACACGTATCTCGAGCTATCTAGTTGTAATTATTATTAGAATCCAGCGAGTCGGGACAAATCAAGATAAAATATTTAATTACGTGCATGAACGAATGAGTGCATGTTAGCGCAGATGCAATTGTATCTACTGGCAACCTTATCCTCCCTAGCATCAATCACTTTGTCACACACAAATATATACACACAAACATACACACACACAAGCATACACACACACACACACACAAACATATATATATATATATATATATATATATATATATATCTATATACACAAACATATTTAAGCACATACATACATACATATATACATACATACACACAAACACTTACCTACACTTACTTAACTAATATTCCAATCGTCACAGTTTGCTATCAAATCATTGTTACCTAGTTATGTGTTCCAAGCAGTATTGATTGAAATTTTCACTGTTGGGTCTTTCAAATTGTGACTTTAATTTTCATTTGACGCAAAATTAATTTTCTGATCATAATTGTTTAATATTATGATCCTAATCATCGCACTTATAGTCCCCGTCATCATCATCACCATCATCATCATCACCGTCATCATCATCAACATCATCATCTTCATCATTTCTACCTCCTTGTCCTCCTCCTCTTCTTCATCATCATCGTCATCACCGTGCCAAAAAACAACAGTGGACAACTATCTACCACACTTGACTGCATTGTGTGTGTGTGCGTGTGTGTGTGCGCATGTGTGTGTGTGTTTGTCAGAGTGTTCAAATTGATACATGCGTCGCTTCAATGCTTGTTAGTTTAGTGTTGTAATAATTGTTTGTAATCATCCTATCAAATTGGTTTATGCGTGTTTATTTATATCTTTAGATGCTCAATTTTTCGTTCATCCGTGCAAGCACACTCATCAAATTTGTCACACATGTGGCAACTGTATTTCCTTATGCAGTATTTGCTTAAGTCCGTGTGATTTTTGAGCAACTTGTCTGTGCATGTAATGCTTCGTATGGGATGAAGTTGTTCAAGAGATAACAGAGATTACATCTATTTAAAATAAACTTTTTAAACTTAAATAAGGAAAAAATTTCAGTAGTGGAATTTTTAAAAGCTAAGACAGTTTTTCGTATGAAACAAATATTTTTGTGCATAAAATTTTTGAAACTTTTATTTACATCAACTAAATATCTTTTTAATACAAATTCAAATCTCATACAAATTTAAACCAAGACAAACATTATAATACTTACACCAATAAATACACAAAACACAGTCGCAAAGACAAACAACCATCTAGTGAGATCCATTCATTGGCACACAAACACACGCACACACAAACACACACACACCTTCACATATACAAACAGAAGAAATTAAATATGAACACGACTGAGTATAAATAAGCGAGGCAGACACACGAAGAACCAGTGCAGTTGACGCCAAGATACATTTACTACATGTGAAGTGCCACAACGTAACAAAACATTACATAATATAACGTAACGTAACGCATGCACTAAAATGACAAAGTTTTCAAGTTCATGCACGCAATCACATTTAGGATGCGCGTACGTTTGCGTACCAACGTTACATATAAACGTCCGTATTGACTCAAGAACACTTCATGTGAGATGCGTGTTAGTGCTCTGCGTTGTCTCTTTGTTTGTACGTCTGTGTGTGTGTGTGTTTGTGTGCATGTGAGTATTTCTGGTGTATGTATTTGTGACTGGCAGCTCTATGCATGTATGTATGTGTGTTGTTAAATGATGTCGCCAATCAAGAATGTGAAAGTGAGGGGAATCAAGAGTGCGGGTGCTTTTTGTGTTTTTTGAAAGTTAATTCTTGATTGTACTAACTTTTCAAACTCAAATTTCTTGTCAAGCTGTGTTATTAATCTCTTCTACTTTACATTTTCATTTAACAAAATTATTAATAATTTAGAAAGTAGAAATTTTTCTGTTTCTAGTTTCCTACTCAACTGTTTATCAGTTCATTGGGAAAAGTGTGGTCCTTGCTAGTCTTCAATTGAAACCTTAAGAAATAAAAACAAATAAATTAATGATAGAACTAAACTAAATTGGTGGGAATAGAATTTCAAATGAGTTTTATCACCGCCTGATCACGGCCTCCCTCGTTCGTAACTTTTCATCAAAACATTCGCGTCTCCTCTTTCAAAGAGAAACTCGAGAAGTCGCAGTAAGTAAGGACAGCAAGGCAACACGGTATTTGACTTTCTGCCTCTGCACACTCACGCACATCACACAGCACCGCCGCCAATGTCCTATAAATAAATTATTGTACGCAATAGAGTTTAGTCCTCGTGCTAATCTGCGCTAGGCACTCTTGCGTGCTAATGTGTCCCTTCTACCATCTGTCCGTCTCCAA